GGTTGTCGGCAGCGCGTGGCACAAACCCATCAGGGTTACCGGCAACCGGCGATCTGCCCTCGGCGGTGTCGTCGGTGGGGGTATCGAGGCCGCTCAGATCATTCTCGCTTTCGGTGCTGATGCGCCGCAGCTGGTAGCGCAGGGCCGCAGCGTCACTTTCCGAGCCAGCTTCGCCATCGGAGTCGTCCTCGGCCGAGCGTGGTGGGTGCTCAAGGTCTGAGGTACCAGACGTGGAGTGGGATGTTTCCGTCAACAGCGCTCTATTGTCGAGGTGCTCCTTGATTGCGCGCCCCTCTCGGAGGATGTCGACGTCGGTCGGATTAGTGAGCTGTTGGAGGTAGCAAATTATCAAGCGCGGGAGAAATGAAGCCACAAAGGCCAGGAAGAAAACGAGATAGAAACTCGGCTCGCGGAGGGTCACGTCGAGTTGGCCGAAAGAGGTCGAGTCTGGGGTGGCGAGAAATATCACAAGGTACGCCGACCAGATAGCGAGGGATGCAAACAGCGCGGAAAACGTTATCCAGCACCAGTATGTAATGCCTGCTGAGTTGTACACGTTCACCACAAAGATGGCAGTAAATGCCAGGAGAGTCCCTGCGCTATCCTTGCCATCGGTCACGCCTATTGGGCTGGTAATGCTGTCTGCCACGGTGAAGCGCACGGTATAGTAGATCACCAGCGAGTGCCAAAGGGCGTCAGCCATCTGCAACCAGAATCCCTCGGCGGTGAAGATCGTCCCAGCAAGACCGGGAAAATACAGCGGTGCGACCTTCATGGCGGTGTCTTGGTCAATGTCTTGGTCGATGATTCCCGCTACAATTGTCGGCAACAGCGTGAATAGAGTGTTGAAGAACAAACCATAGCTAAAGTCGGTGATTTGATCGGAAGAAAAGCTGGGATGGGTGCAAGACAAAGCAGTGTCATGTCATATGCAGGCATGGAGTTACAGGTCCTACCTGCAATCGAATTGATACCAAAATATGACAAACAGCCACACTGCATTTTTATAGAAGTAGCTCCATATCAGTCTGGTAACCCGAGCAGAGCCCCAACGCCCGTGGACGAGCAGTAGCTTTGAAAGGAATTGAAACTGAGAAATTGCGTAATCACTGGCCATGACTGCCTGTAGACCCTCCTTTCCGATTATACCAATACCGATGTCGGCTTCCTGGATCATGCTCACATCGTTGGCACCGTCCCCCACCGAAAGGGACACGGCGCCCTGAGGAGCGCAGGGATCCAGAATTTCAAATATTGGGAAGTTTTTAGAGAAATATTGTAAATGCCCCTGGGAGGCGCACTCACCAGCCCTCGGCGGACAAGTGAGACCACCTTGGCTTTCTGTAGCGGGCTAACGCGACAGCAGATGACCGCACGACAACGGCAGCCGAGCTCCAGCAAGAGCGGGCGGCAGGTTCTCCTTAGTGCAAACTTTAGGCTGGAGCCGTCGATAACTAGTGCGCGCGGAGTCTGGTCTTTGGGGTTGCCATCGACATCCCAGAATGTTTCGAGAGCCTGGAGGAGCTGCTCGTAAGTGGTCCGGCGTGAGGACGAGTTAACGACAATGAGGATCATGTTGCGGGTCAGCAGGTTGCAGGCAAAGCCAATGTTGATCGCCGTCTCCATTTTGTCTCCCTGGTTGATCGAAAGTAAAAAAGATTCGGCTGGTAAGCAATAGCAACGACGCATGGGTGGGGGGAACACAAACCGTCAAAACCCATATCTTTAACCCTGCTTCGCGGAGAAGCTTGATGGTCTGCGGGACACCCTCCTGGAGCTTATCCTCAATAGCGGTGGCGCCCATCAGCGTCAGGTCGTTCTCAATTCTAGCCGCGACGGCGTCAACGCGCTGTTCTCGGTTTACCAATGCTGTCTGCGCGTCCCGTAACTCGCGCGCCCAAGCAACGTATTCTTCCTCTGAGACGACTCGGTACGCGAGGCAGAGAGTACGCAGGCCTTCCCCTGCAAACATCTCTAGGTGCCTCGCGGTGACATCGTAGAATTCGGGCGGGTCGAACGGGCCACCGCGGGTGCGGAGGCGCTCGAAGATGACACTGTCTGCACCCTTGACGAGCAAGATGATCTGGCCTTCGGGCCGCCGGACGACAACCGACATGCGCTTGCGGTCCGAGTTGAACTCGAGTACGTGGAGGACCTCATACCGTCGGAGCTCGCCCATCAGGTCCAGCTCGAGGACGTTGTCTACACGCCGAAGGAATGTGAAGCCCATGTCTCGCGCAACGGCTACTAGGGCTGCCTCGTCTGGCGACTGCGCATTGTACGTAACTGCGAAGGGATTCTCCTCGCTTGCACGGCTGACGAGCACTGTGTGGCACACAGCAAGCAGTGTGAAAAACTCTCGAATCTTACGGGCCTGGTCTCCGTTCTGGGAGAGGTGGTAGACGACGTTCTTGTCCACGAATGGGAGGTCCGGGGACATGTAAGGGTTCTTGTACAAATACTGGAGTGCATGTTTCATTTTTTCGATGCCGTCACCCTTCCGACTCTCCCGTTGGTCTTTGACCGGATTGCCGGGCTCCTCAAAGAGACTATCACCATACATGATTCCATTAATGGAGCATTTTCGAAACTCCATGACGTTGCACGTGAGCGTGCCGGTTTTATCGGAAAAAATGTATTCTATCTGGCCTGAAGTGATGTTAGACTTTACATTGGCTCAAGGATATATTATGGGCCTGACCTAGATCATCACAGAGGTTCCAGGCGCGTGGTTGCATGTACGTCTTGGTTTCCGAATCACACATGTCTTCATCGAGCGAAAGCATGTAGGACTGGGCGGTTTTGGAGATTTCGACGCTAATGTAAAGGGCAATCGGGATGATGCTCTGGAATATAATCATGCAATTGAAGAAAGTAAAAAAAGCGGTGTACAGTGGAGTGAACGTCGAGTCCTTTGGGACATATGTTGCGTCCTCGAAGAGAAACACGCCAGTGTAGATTGACGCAATCGCCGTGCAAATCACGCACACGGCTCCAAGTAGAAGAAAATTGATCAGCACTAGCGGGTTCAGCAGACGGTCGATGCGGCTACGTTTACTCGGGGTAGCGCCCGAATTGAGCATCAGCTTCGAGTACCTTCCGGCGTAGATGGCGACTCCGACACACCAGTCTGTGTGACGCAGGACGCAACCGCGCAGCAAGATATTGTTGATACCAAGGGGTACATTTTCCGAGACGGTACCATTCACTCCATGTATCCGAAGGACCCCCGTGTAGCTGTAGAGGTTGGCATTTGGCATCTCCGACGCGATTTCAAGGCGAACTCGCGTGCACGCCGCGGGCGAGTCTAGGTTCGCAAAATTCTTCGCGCCCCTCCTGACTTTCAGGTTCGTCTCGCCATCCAGGTTCTTGGTCTCGACGCAGCAGATGCAGTCTGGCTCGCTGGAGGAAAGAATCACTATGTCGGCCGGGATCCTATCATTGTTCCGCAACAGGACAAGATCTCCGACTTTTCGTGTTTTTTTTTGGGTGGGGGAGGGGGTGGGTTAAACCAATTGATGTAAATATTAAGCCAGTAAGTCCGTAAAAATTGATACGGACCTTTAACGTCCTCCCAGCTGGTCGACTGCCAGCAAGGGGCTCCGTTGGAACTGTCAAATGTTTCAGGATCTTTCCTCTGCGATGTTTTTTTCTTTTTTGGAGAATGATTCTCCAAGTTTTTGTTGACCCAATGATCGAGGCATTGAGTAACGCATGTATTGACCTCCTTGTCGGCCTGGTGTCTTTTCCAGTCTTCCACAGCATCCTTGCAGGAAACATTAGCGATTGGTCGCTCCAACGAGCTATTGTACGGCTAACCTTGATCGCGGTCACGACGACAATGATGACGATGGGTGCTGCGGTTAGGATTGGCGAGACGTTGTTGAACGGCGGGAAGATCTGGATCACGACCAGGCTGAGGAAGTAAAAGTTTGCAATGGACCGGAACTGCTCGAACAGGTTCTTTGGCAGGAACGACACGACTGTGTACTTGCTTGTGCGGATGCGATTGCACTCGCTCAGGACACGGAGTTGCTCGCCTGATGGCTCGGGCGATCCTGGCGGACGCGACGAGTTGACCAAAACTACGTGAGACTCCTCTTTTAAAGGTGGCGAAGGTGAAGTATCTGCTGCCTCCTCCACGATATCGACGTTGGATCTGGACCCTAGCCAGTTCAGGTCCATGGGGGAGTCCATGTGGCCGCGTTTATCCGCCAGGTGACAAACCGCGAAAATAATCCCCAGTGTGTTGCTGCGAGCACATGCGAAACTTTGACACTTTCGCCTTCACATTTAATCGCAGAAGGATATAATGTGTGGCTCACAGGTCGGACGCTACGGTCAATTAAAACCAAGACTCTACCAGGGCGGGAGAGGTGGAAAGATGTATTTGAAAGGTGAGAGGGGGTGGCGATGAACAGAAGAGAGATATGGGATGAAGCGCGCGTGCGCCGCGTGATACCAAATAACTACGCGATGACAGCAGTCGGTCGCAGCGACTGCTTCAGGACTCCTTCCCTGAAGTTCCTGACAGCCTCGATCAGCAGAGGCCTCTGTTGCTGCTTGCACAACGCTCGCCCACAGCGATCCGTGGCGACGGCATCCATGTTCCTGCACATGTTTTCAGCAGCGAAGGCAGCAGCTTCGCGGGCGGTTCCTCCGGTGCGACCATGCAGCCGCCGCACCTCCAGGATCCCGTCGCCGAACTCGAGCGGGCTTAGAACGCAACCTATGGCCGCGGGCGCCACTCCATCTGCTACGCTGAGGTGGTATAAGATGACTAAGGCCCTCGTGCACCGTCACTGTCCACCCAATACTGCTATCCAGGCCACTACGCCGTACTCCATCCCACCCCCCTTTCACCCTGCCAATTTGCCAGTTTCCCTACTTTGGTCGCCCCTGCGCTCTCACAGGGCTTCGATGCTGGTGGATGGTGGGGTGGAAGTGGCGTCCGAAAATTTTATAAAATAATTTAAAAACCTAGCGGATACCCCCTCCCAGCAACAGTGGTTCAGTGGTAGAATTATCGCCTGCCACGCGGTAGACCCGGGTCCGATTCCCGGCTGTTGCATTATTTTTACTTTCGCCTGTTGTTCACAGGCCTTCAACTTGGTTGATTAGGGCAAAGCAGGAACATTATTGCCTTCTTTTGCCGCGGAACTGCAACGCAGCCCCTCTCCTACCCAGGTGATGTTTGACAGCAAACTAGTGCTGCTTCTCTCTTCGTTTCCGTATCGGTCTTGAACTCTCCCCATTTCGACCTGTCGGATTACGTCCTTTCGACCCCGTGGCTTGCGGCATTCCCTACCTACTACTTTGTATCCCACCGAACCCGTCTCAACTTCACCCTCTCCCATCTGTCCCACTGTTGTTTCACCCATAAACACACCCCCATCCACTCTGACCCCACATCCTTCGCCGTCCTCCCTCTATCCCACCCTCTCTCTTGTCCTCCCGTCCATTTCCCCTCTCTACCTCTTCCGCTCTCCCTGTTAATCAATCCCGTCGGAGCGAGACTAGCGCCCATTCGATGATGAAGATGGTAACCGGCCTCCCTCTGTGCTTCTTCCGCGTTGAGTGCGAATACTTGCGATTCTGTTGAGAGCTATGGAGGGTTTGGCGAAAAAGCACAGTAGAATTCCAAATTCCGCCTTAGGCTCAACTGCAATGGCGCACCCCACCCATCTGCTAGTCGCCGCGGTATTAGAAGACTGAGGCCCACGTGCACTCCACACAACACTGCTATTCCGGCCACTA